GCAATAGATAATTGATGCATGAATAGTTTTATTTCCTACACTGTATTTTCTGCTTTTTAGTGTAGTGGTAGTCGTTTGGAAACCTTTTGGAAAACTTATTGATTTCAATATTTAAAACACAAATATGCGATAAATAAAAATATGGGCATCGATGGTATGCAGTGTGTCCTCTTAAGTTATGCATATGGAAACTTTTTTATTGTTCATTTTATGAAAAGAAGGTTACTTTTCATTAATTTCTTTTGCTCGATGTATAAATGAGGCGCTGAGAATAGAAAGAGCGAACTCAACATCGGACCAAAAATTTTTTTTTCATTTTTCATTAACCCTTAACTGGTGTTCTAGGGTCAAATTGACCCTAGCACAATGTAGTTCAGTAGTGGTTAAAATTAGGATCACCAGTTAAGGGTTTATTTGAATGATGACGAATTGTTCTACGACGAATTATGTTAAGTTTGCCCTTCTTTCCCTTCGAAAATCGAATATCAAGCAAAACGGATGTTCGATTTTAACCAATACGGCTGAGAGTACAATCGGCGAACTCAACACGCCTAACCACAGGTGTCACATTTTCACAGGTGTGACGTTTTTACCTCATACCCAGAGCCGCGACGTTGTCGGGCAACTCATTGGCGGCTTGTCGCCTTACGGCTGAGACTCGGGCCACATCACGCAACATATAGTATACCACGCCACTAGTTAAGTTTTTCTACGCCACTGGTTTGTAATTTCACAAAAAGAAACTTAATACTAAATCGCGTATGTCGTGGGTGTCGGCGATTTGAGACGACACACGCGGACGATGGAAATTATACATTAATTAATTGGCATTTAATTCTGACCGATTTATAGTTTTTCGTTACTTGGTCAGCATCGTACGGTTTTATTGTATTGTCAGCATCGTACAACAATACAATAAAATTCGACCTGATTTCCTTATATGGTAATCACTCGTTTTGATGTTGTAACTATAGATCTTCATAATTTTTGGTAATTTCTCCACAGATTCTCATCCTGCGTACCTTGATCTCTTCTAAAAAGAGCAAACTTACGTAGAAGGTAAAAAAGAATTTTTCTGCAACTCTCCATGGATATATATATATATAGTATAATTAAATGAATATGTATGCATAATTGTGACATAAACAATAAATGAAAACAATATACCCCAATATGTTATCGTAAATAAAAAAAAATACACATATACAGGGTGTATCTGAATGACTGCAACAAACATCAAGGGGTGATTCTTTAGTGAATTTTAAGGGTACTTTGATATATGAACAGTTGTTTAGAACTTGTTTAGAAGGGTAGGTTGAAAGTACAAATAGGGTCAAAACGTGCCCTATTATGAGTTAAACATATTCCCCAAATTTCATTTTCCTAGCGTTTATGGTTTTTGAGAAAAAGAAATTAAACCNGGTTTATTTGAATGATGACGAATTGTTCTACGACGAATTATGTTAAGTTTGCCCTTCTTTCCCTTCGAAAATCGAATATCAAGCAAAACGGATGTTCGATTTTAACCAATACGGCTGAGAGTACAATCGGCGAACCACAGGTGTCACATTTTCACAGGTGTCACGTTTTTACCTCATACCCAGAGCCGCGACGTTGTCGGACAACTCATTGGCGGCTCGTCGCCTTACGGCTGAGACTCGGGCCACATCACGCAACATATAGTATACCACGCCACTGGTTAAGTTTTTCTACGCCACTGGTTTGTAATTTCACAAAAAGAAAGATTTAAATAAAAAAATAAAAAAAAAATACGTTTTGACCCTATTTGTACTTTCAACCTACCCTTCTAAAGAAGTTCTAAACAACTGTTCATATATCAAAGTACCCTTAAAATTCACTAAAGAATCACCCCTTGAAGTTTGTTGCAGTCATTCAGATACACCCTGTATATACAAATATAAATACCCATATCGAGATACAAATGGCGGGATCCAGAAAAATCTGCTCTATCCAACCGAATAAACAGAAAAGAGGACATCCTAACAAAATAAAAGAAAAGGAAAGAAAAAAGAAAAACAACCTGATAAGGTTGCCCTTGTAGAGCCTGTAATAGAAAATAATAATAAAAAAAAAAACAAACTCAATTCAGATAAGAATCAACTGACAGCCGCTGACTGCTGACAAAACATTAGTCTCCTTAGTTCTGTGCGAAATCGAGATAAAGACAACTGTCGCAACAGAATTAGTAAAGATCCGTATGATTTGTAAATGTGATACGTAAACGATCGCTGGAACATTGAAGTTCTAAATCTCGGCGGATAGAAACCCACTCCCGACCTGGTTTGACGAAGCTGTGGTTTGAATATAATTTTAGTATATAGATATTCCGGAATTCCAGAAACCACAATTCTTTGGAATAGAATCAAACTGTAAAACTCCCTCCTGTTGCACATACTCAACCAACCAGCCTCTTTAAGTTTATAAGAAATTCTCTCAAATTTTCGAATTCCATAGATAAATCTAAGACAACTGTTTTGTACTCTGTATACTTCGCGAAGTAACCGCATCAATAGCGCCATGATATATAGCAGACATAAAGTTAAAATGTGAGAGCACAAATGCGTCACACAAACTTATTTTCACTTTTATGGGCAGGTATGACCGATGCGGATAGAGAATTCGCAAATTGCGGTAAGATCTTTTAATATACATTGCAATCTGTTGCTTAAATCTAAAATTATTGTCTAAAATCAAACCAAGACACTTAGCCTCTGAAACTCTTTTAATTAACGTATCATTCAACTTAATAGCCAAGTCAGGAGCAGCAACACGCTTTTGACTACTAAAGCACATCCACATATATTTTTCAGGGTTTATTTTTAATTGATGGTAAATAGCAAAACTAAATATTTTTTCAAGATTTGTTTATATTATATTCAACAACACCACTATCCGCATCCACATAAGAAGCGTACAGTTGTGTATCATCTGCATAAGAGTTAATCTTACAAAACTGAATAAATTTGCTGAACTGCGAAGTATATAAAGAAAACAAGATAGGACGCAACACAGAACCTTGCGGAACACCGCTCGTTACTGCCAAATCACTAGAAACAGAATCGTCAATCCTCACCCGCTGTGTGCGATGACTAAGATAATCACGTAAAATAGATACTGTGTTTTCAGTAAATTCCAAATATCGAAATAATTTACAAATAACAGTGTGGTTAACAATATCAAATGCCTTAGAGTAATCCAAGAAAACAACAGCGGTATTCATTTCTCTGTCAAGAGCAGTCAACAAATCATCTGTTAAATTCAGCATTGATGTAGTATACCCACGCCTAAAGCCCGATTGCTGCGATGGGTGTAAACTCTTCAGTTCCACATACTTTGCCAACTGTATCTTCATAATCTTTTCTAAAATTTTGGAAAGGACAGAGAGCACACTAATAGGTCGCAAGTCGCCATATTCCTGTGGGTCACCCTTCTGAGGCAGCGGAATAACCACAGCACGCTTCCATTCCATGGGAAAGACATGTTCAGTTACACAACAGTTTAGTATATGAGTTAAATATGGCAAAATAGTTGGACAAGACATTTTGATCATGTCAATGGAGACACCATCCGCTTCAACTGCAGATGAGGCAATAGAATTAATCATCTCCATCACCAAAGAGACCTCCACTGGTTTAAAAAAAAAGTCATTTCTAAAACTAGAACTATCATAGAGATCTAAACCAGGCCCTTGGAAGTCTTTAACAATTTAATTTTCTAATCATTAACTTAAATATATCGGTCATCCAGGGAGCAGGAGGCTTAGTAAATCGATACCTTTTTACAGGAGCATGGTCATCAAAGACGTTAATTAACGCATTTGTGAAAAAAGAAACCTTCTCATTAATGTCACCAATATAAAATACATAGTTAAACGGAATTGATCTTAAGTTCTGCAAAAAGGAATCATTATCAATATACTTTAAGAGACGCAAAAATTTAAAAGTTGGAGATTTCTTAATTGTATTAATCCTTATGTCACAAAAAACCATATCATGATCAGAAAGGTGACACGGAAGCACACCACTACGAAGTACCAAGAACCTATCAAATGAAATAACTAAATCAATAAGAGAAGCCGTATTCAGAGTTACTCTGGTAGGATGTTCGATGAGCTCCTGACCTCCAAGAGATCAAGCAGACTTAAAAGATATTTACTATCAACACTATCAATATTCATTATATTAATATTAAAATCACCACAACATATAATTTTGTCAGTAGCGCTTAGACAACTAGCAACTGAATTTTCGAACTCATCAAAAAAAACCTGTAATAAACCGCATACTCTTTAATTTGATGAATAGCACGACCAGATCGGTCATATCTAACTCGAGAATCAACTTACCCTAAAAAAAAATTATAGCTCCAAAACGTATCCATAGAAAACATTTTAAATGTGATTTTTGAGTTTAGGGGACCAAACTACATAAGACAAATACAGTGGCGTCAAATGTACATTTTATAAATTTTTGTTTGTAGATTAGTGTAATTTATGTAATGTAATGTAATGCAGCTTAACAGTGAGCCACGGTTTGTTCTCGTCACATTCGTATCGAATCGCTTGATTCACTATCAGTTGATTAAGGAATTATTGAGGTTGGGGCTCTTGTCGTCATTTAGTACACCTTACATTTTTGTAAAGTCATTTGATTCGATCATAGAATGTTTTTGATTTAACCTAGCTTGCAGCTTTCTTTTGCTTCTGAGAGGTAAATTTTAATTAAGAAATTGAAGGGATCTCTCAGTTGTCAATGAAGGGCTCATCCCATTTTTCGAGATGCTTTTTGGACCTGTTGGTAGTAACTTATTTATTATTACGGTAAATGGAAGTTGAATTTGTATAGAAAATTAGGTAGCAACATATTATATTGGTTAAAGCGCAAATTTACTATCTTAAAAATAAATGTAAAACAATATGAAATAAGCACCTTATTAAATGTCAAGTATATATTGATTAAATACAAATAATACAAAATCAATCACTCCTTTAAATTTAAGTGTTTTAATCATTTTTTGTCCTTCATATCGAGATATCTGATAAGATTTTATTAAATTTTTTAAATTATTATTTTTTTACTAATAAAATCTAGGATTATATTTTAATCCGGACTCCTGGAAACCCGCTACATCCTAATCCCGTTATTTTGTAAAGTACGCCATTTTCGGGACCGTCAGGAGCTGGTTCTGGCCCAAATTGAACTTTTGCCGTCGTTACATATAATTCATCTAAATTTTTACCACCAAACACTAAAGAAGATACCTTAAAAAACGAACAAATGTAACAAATTAAAGAAAATACGTATAAATATTATAAATAATAAATACTTGTTGTGCTGGAAGTGTAATTTTTTCTAAAAGACATTCTTTTTTGCTCGGATCAATTTTAATAATCATCCCGCCACCAAAACAAGTTACCCATAAATTTCCATCTTTGTCAATGGTCATTCCATCTGGAGCTCCTGGAATGTTATGGTCATCGAAAGTAAATAATCTAATTCGATTTGCTAAAAATAAGGTTAATCAATAAATAAAATTAAATTAATAAATTAAATATAAAGTACTTATAACGCTTGCTTCTGGATCGTAATCAAATTGTTCAATTCTTCGTGTTGGACTATCAATAAAATAAAATTTATTTGTCACAGAATTCCATGCCAAACCATTCGGAATTGTTAGTGAATTAAAATGCCTCTTTATTTGTTTGTTAAGTTCTAAATTATACAACGTCCCGGTTTTTTCCTCAAATCCACCCATCGTCTTAATAATCATAGCCCCAGCCCATAGTTTTCCCGTTGGGTCCACTTTTCCATCGCACCAAATATAATTACCATTTGGAACTTCATCCAGGGAAGATAAAACTTGTATATTTTGACCTCTTTCACTTTTACCATCCCATGTTAATATCGATAATTTATTACCGTGTGATATTACGTATTTATTATTATTATTTTCAATTGGAATTGCAAATGTAGAATGAGTTAATCCTAAATTAATTTATAATTATTATAATTAATTAATAATTAATAAATTAATTCTTACCTAATAATGCACGAACGTGAAATTTATCATGTGGACTATATCTATGTATTGCTCTATCATTAGTATCGACAAAATATAAACTTTGAGTTTCCTCGTCCCAAAAGGGAGCTTCAGGAAGTTTTAAATTAGTAACTAAAGCTTCTATTTGTCTCGACATACTACTTTAAGGAACAATAATAATTAACTGATTCTAACATTGGTTCATTTCAAATTTTTATCTTTTATCATTATCTTTTGATAAATAATCACCATGTTCATTCAACTGGATATAAAAATGTAATGTTTTACAAGTTTTCTTTCGAAAAATAAAGAAATTAAAAATCAATTTTATTGTGTTTAATGACTTAATTTGTTTTTTCTTTGGATTTCAAAGTGTTCTTATATAAGCCTAAATAAAGATAAGACTAAAAATAGAGAACGAACGATAATAAAACATTTTTATTGCCGCATTGCTACGAAATATCCTCATTGCGTAATTTAAATTTTTATAATTTTAATGTTGACATTAAATTAAATTAATAAAGTATACAGGGAAATAAAAATGTAATTAATTATGCACTAAATAACTATACGTTTTTTTATTTAAACAAAAAATGTTTTGTTTGTAAGTTTCAAAATAAATAAATAGATTATAAGTAGGTCATTTAAAAAATTTATAAAGAATGTTAATTTTTTAATTTTCAAGCGATATCATTGAAATTGAACAACGTCGAAAAATGGTCTGCAAATTTCTCTGTGATTGTAACAGCAGATTGCGAACAACCTGGTGGTGCTGTAGCTTCAATTTCTTCTAAACCTACTAGGTACATTCAGTGTGTTATCGAAATCCATACCATCCTTTTCTCTCACAAAGTTGTGAAGAATGCAAAAAGCCTTTATGATAATCTCAGCAGTTTTAACATTCATGTCTGTAGCGCATCTGTGGCGTTGCACATATTCCCTGCCATATTGATTTCAATTTCTACTTTTTTATTATTTACCATTGATTATTTAAAAAAAATGATTTTGTATTAGGAAAATAACAAATGATAAGTCCAAGTATCATTTGGTGGTTGCAAATTTGCCTTTCGATATCATTTCTAGTATTTTTGACATTATCTCTTCACCTCCTGATAAAGATACGTTTATACGTACAATTAAACTGCTTTAATTTCTCGGCTATCATTCAGTGAAGAAACAAAACTTGATGAACTGTTGTCAGGTGCAGAGATGGGGAATCAAAAACCATCTAATTTCCATCGAGGTATGTTGAGTACCGTTGGCGGAACACAGATGGTTAGTCATGATCTCCTTTTAAAATTGTTGCAGCGGAGGTTGCCACATTCCATCTCTGTAGCACTTCATGCATCCGGAAATGAAAATATTGATGATGTTTTACAAATTACAGATAAAATCTGGGATTCCTTCCATCAATTTGCTCCTCATAATAATGTTTCCAACATTAATCAATATTCCGATGTTGCGACAGCTCAATTGAATCAACAAAATAATTTATCTTTGATAAAAGCTATTAGTGATCTAAACATTTCTTGTAAATCAGTGATTACAAATATTTCTCAAAAACAAGAAATTATAGAAACCCAAATTACCAACATTCAAAATCAAGTTAAAGATAGAGACAATTATAGACCACATTTTAGTTGTCAAAATTGTCAACAAAAATATAGATCGCGTTCTAATTCTAGAAATCGTACAAATAAAGATCAATCTTCTTCTATCCTCCAACCGGGTGATAGGTTGGGTGATAGGCCGACAACCCGTCCCCATTAAAAATCATCTGTTACGGAACTTAATGCAATGCCTCAGATTGGACGAATTCAGCGGTCACGATCCGGCAATCAGAAAATTAATTACTCCTTCGGAACCTGAAATAAGCAAACCTAAATGACTGGGCAGCGAGATAACGGACATGAGGTCACATACAATCTGTAAAAGTGGCAAGGGAATAAATTTATTCTCAATAGAGCATATAAACAGTAGATCATAAACTTCAAACCCATTTTTAACGAAGGAATGTTCGCACTACGTATCACCAACAGCCGCACCAACAGACGACAAGGATAAAGCAACTAAGAATGAATTTTATATTTAGCTGGAAACAACTTTTGACTCATTGCCCTGAAATGACACCAAGATAAAGCGGGCTCTAGTCAACATTGTAATTCCGGGCCTATTTTTCAGTCATGACACATACTTTGCGTTTGGTTTTAAAGCATCTAGTATGTAGTTAATAATAAACATATTTTATTAAAACAAGCAATAATACTGAAACAAATATACCCAGATTGATTAGTTATATTGCCTTTTTTCTCACTTTTAATTCTGCAAACTCGTCAATTAGTTTGTCATCAAATAGAGTTATTTAATACCTCTTTTTCTATATAAAGTAATGATAAACTATTTAATTTTTGTTGGCCTAATGTGGATCTTAAAAATTTTTTATTCTGGCTATTACTGAGAATGATCTTTCACCGCTTGCATTGCTTATTGGAAGGGTTAAATAAATTCTCAGAATTATGTTTAAATTAGGGAATGTTGCAATAATATTATATTCCTGAATAAATGACCACATGGACACAGGCGAAATAATATTTTCTTTACTTATAAAAGTTTTAAATTGTAATACTTCATTTTTCAGTTCTGCTAGGTTTAAATCTTGTTCATAACATTTTAATTCCTCTATTGAAGAGTCACCAACATCACTATCATGAAAAATTGTTTTGAATTTATTGTTAATAGTTTTATATCCGTCAGATCTTTTCTTAATGTTGCTAATTAAAGAATCGCATACAACAAAAAAAAATTAACTTTAAAATCTTCTTTCCCATTGAATTTTCTGCCGTTTTTTTATCATTAGTATATGCAATATCTTTAACTTTTTCTGTTTCTCTTTCTAAGTTGTCAAAATCATCTCTAACAGTTTGTATAATAATAATAATAATAATAATTTATTATGTTAATAACCCAGAGGGCATACATTCGTCACAATCGAAATAGAAATACCACATAAAAACATATATAAGAAAGAATAAATTACTAAATACATTACATTACATTAAACCCCTGATAAAATAATCGGTGTCCGGTCAGTAGCGACAAAGGCACAGTCGTAATACATCATAAAAATATCAATCGAAGGACTGTATATCGTTTAAGAAATCATCTATGGAGTAATACGCCTTCCCCACTAAAACATTTTTAATTTTGGTTACAAAAGCCTTATAAGGTAAGCTTCTATAACCACAATGCAAGACATTGAAGAACTTCACTCCATAGTAATTATATGCGTTTCTCGACCTCTCCAGTCGCAGTGCCTCCGGTCGAATGTCATTCCTCCCCCTAGTGCCATAATTGTGAACATCACTATTTTTCCTGTGCTGACTATGATGTAAAAAAGTGAGCTTTAAACATTCCAAAATATATAATGAAGGAAGTGTTAATATTTTTAATTTGATAAAAGAAGGCCTACAGTCATCAGTATAGTTCAAGTTAGCAATATTTCTAATAGCTCTTCTTTGTATCCCAAATATTCTTTTATTGATCGGGGCATGTCCCCAGGCCAGTAACCCATAACTTAGATGGCTCTGAAAAAGCGCAAAAGAATATGAAATCTATCAATGAATCATATATTAAAACTGCTGTATTTAAGAATTCGTCTTTTTGTTGAAAAGTCTTGTTTGAAGCATCTATTCTCTCTAAAATCTTTTCCCATACAGCGTGTCCCGTATCTTCCGCATCAGAGCATTATACGGTTGTAGAATACATTATCGGCGCGGCGGTCCGGACCGATTACCTGAATCTGATTTGCGATTTGCCATTGGATGTCGAAAAACAGTTCCCGCGCGGTTATTACAAACATTTCGAAAAAAAATTTATTAGAAAAATCGCTTCGGAATAATGTATCCTACAACCGTATAATGCTCTGATGCGGAAGATACGGGACACGCTGTATAGTAAGTAACAGTACATACTCAAATGTATCAATTTTTTTATGTAAATCGGCAGCTTCGGACCTTGTTAATGGTTTCTCATCTTTGTTTGAAGAAAAATGACGTAAACAATGTTTAATTTCGTCATAATTTTCCTTTAAGGATTTTACAGCATCGGAACGAGCAGACCACCTGGTGTCACAAATAGGTTTGCTACTCAAGTGTTTGCTCTTACAACATTTTTGTAATGCATTCCAGCTATGTGTAGAACTTGAAAATAATACGTAAAATTGCTGAACGATATTGAAAAAAGTGGTCATTTCCATGCAACTTTTTGCAGCAGCGTTTCCAATTAAATTTAATGAATGATTTGCTAAAATAACTTTATCCAAGTTTTTACCAGTATGAGAAAATATAGGTAGAAATCCCAAAAATCTTTCTTTTATACCACTTGGAAGAACATAGCGAATAATGACGGTCAGCTGATCTCCGTGAGATATATCAGGTGTTGAATTTATAATAAGAGAGTCAAATTTGGCTTCCTTTATTTCGTTCACTATTGTGAGTTGTAAATCTTTCGATATAATAGAAATAAATTCATCACATATTGTAGACGAAAAATAGTTTATAGTACCGGTGCCGCAGTTTGCATACTTTTTCATGTGTTCCCGCAAAAATGGATCGAACTCGGATAAATATTCCAAAGCACCTATATAATTACCATTGTTTTCACTAAAAAACACTTCATTTTTACCACGAAACGCTAAAGAGTATGAAGAAATAAATTTGATTGACGCTATCACACGTTTAAGTACTTCCCTCCAATATTTTTTTTTCATTAATAATTTGTCTTTCAAGTTCAGTGTCAATGCGTCCGGTAATTTTAGATCTTGTTATAAAAATTAAAATAGAGTTAATGTGGTCACTGGAGTTTTCATGCTCTGACAATTTTTTATGTACATTTTTCCAATTATTCGTCCCTTTTGTCATTAGCGTTGTTTGCTTGGAAAATAATTTACAGACGTAACAGTACAATAAGTTGTTGGTTTCAGTATAAGCCAACCAATCTCTTTTAACTTTTTTCCCGCTATTAATTGTTCTGAAGAAGGAGGCAATAGTTAACTTTCTTGTGATTTGTTTTGACCCTTCCTTGCATGGACTAGAAGATGATTCCAAAGATCCATTTATTGATTTTGGTGGATTTTTTATATAATACTCTCGCATGGCATCTGTTAAGTATTCTGGCTTTTTTACGTTTGACTTTTTAAACACTTGCATAGTAAAGCTCGATCCACACTTGTCGACTTTATCAATCAACGACTCGGCATAATTTGGATACGTTTCAGCAATAATTATGAAAATCACGTTTTTCTGTTAAATAAAAATTAAAATTAAAAACCTAATTTTTGGGTCCCAAAAATTACGGGCTCTACGTACGTGCCTAGGTTGCCTAGGCCTTAGTCCACCCCTGCAAGCAGGGTTGTTTTGATTTGTAACAAATTTATTTTGTGTGTGGGATGAGACTGCAGTAGGTGTCTTTACAAAGAAACTTCAACTCAGTTCCTGAGAAAATCAAAAAGTTACTTGAGGCTCTTCACCCACTTCCTGACCGGACACTGCAGGTTACGTAAGCATATGTTCTACATGAAGTTGGTGAACACACCTAGGGATTGCAATCCCGGGATTTTAATCTAGAAAATCCCGGGATCCCGTACATATTTAAATCTATCCCAACTAAAATTATACCAGGAAATTATGTTTAGCAAATGGTTTACACCTTGCAATAATAGATGTGTTAAACAAAAGCCAAAGAAACAACAAAGTATATTAGAGCAAAACATTAGAGAAACTTATATTACGTTTAACATCAAAATATGTTTGAAAATGATGATGATGACTGATAATTGCGGAGCCTCGACGGCAGGAAATGAATTAGACACTGAAAGAAAAACTTTATTTTGCTCTTGTAAGGAGCGGCTCTTACTATGTTGAGTGGGCGTGCTAAAGGCGTATGCGACAAGCAGAACCTGGTCACGCTGGCTTGGATTTAGGGAGCAAAGTTAAATGAAATTAATAAAAATAAAAGAAATCAAGTTAAATTTAAATAATAAATTTAATGAATTAAAATCAAACCAAAACAATAGCAAGAAAATAAAATACAAACTTAAATTAATAAACAGAATTAAAGTTGAAATAAATTGGAACAAACAAAGTTTAGCTTCAAAAATAACTCGAAAACTTTATATTGATTAACAACAAAAGAAATTTTAATCTAGTAATTTTGTTTACTTGAAAATCTTTATAACCAAATTTAATTAAAAACATTCAAAAAAATCTAAGTTAATAAAAAGAACAATTCAAAAGAATATCGAATATTACGTAGGTTCATACCAAATCAGAAAAAGCTAAAGCAATTAGTTACAATCTTTACAAGTTAATATGTAAAGTAAAACATTAACGACTTACCAAGCGTTAAAGCGATCATATTGAGAGGAGTATCTCGTTAAAAAGTGTAACACAAAGAAAAACCGGAGTCTCACTCGAACATTCCACTGAGACTCTTAACCGAAACCGAATAGGGTGCTTCGCCGAAGAAATTAATTTAAAACCAAACCGAACTGAACTGTCTCGCCGAAGAAGAGAGAAATTAATTTTAATCCAAACCGAAAAACTCTGTTGTCTCGCCGAAGAAGAGAGAAATTAACTTCAATTCAAACCGAAAAACGGACTCAAAATGCGCTCCTCCTCAATATTTAAACCTTTACCCCCTAGACGCTCTTTCCTCTAGAAAAGTCCTTATTGGCCAACGCATGATTCAACCAATTAGAAATTGCAATATCAGCAATTAAACAAAAGAGAGGGAAGGAAAACAAAAAGAAAACGTTTTACCCCTGGACGTTCTTAACTCTAAGAATGGTCTTATTGGCCAACGCATGGTTTAACCAATCAAACAATTACAACTATAACAATTAGACAAAAGAAAAGGAAGGGAAGGATGAGTCGAGCAACGATCCCCTCCATTCGAGAATGAATAAAAGAATATCAATAATTAATTAACAAAATTTGAACAGATCCGCAGATCTACACTCTAAACAAACAACAGCCATCTGTCCAGTTAACTAAGTGTAAGAATGCGCTCTTCAATACATTGATCCAAGAAATTGATGTATTCAATAATGGCGGTAGCATCGGTAAAAATCATCAATTCGCTTTTAAATGTTTGAAAACTATTCCACCAACAAGTGTGGAATCGAAACGGTGCTTCTCTTCAGTAAGTATATTAAACACAAACTTTAGATCTCGTTTAATAGATAAAATAATAGATAAATTACTTGTTCTGCGACATTTCTTTAAAAGTAGTTCAATGTATGGTAGATTTTTTTATAATGCTTTCTATTATGTTTAGAATAAACTGTAACGTTAAAAACACCTTGAAACTTTTTATTTATGATTACATATGTAGCCCATAAAACCCAGGATTACCCGGGATAGACAATTCTGATCCCGAAATCCCGGGATTATAAAAACCATTCTTGATTGCAATCCCTAAACACACCCCTTTGTAGAGGGTGTGAAATGGACGACGAGATGGTAAGTCATATTGTTTGTGACTGTTCCAACCTCGTGTACTTAAGGGAATCCATTTTTGGCGTACCATGGCCTATGTTAACGTTCATTAAAACCTTGAGCTGGTTTTCTGACCCTCAAATGAACTGTAAATTGTGGGAATGTACAAAGGTCTCGTTGGGGCCTAAGTACTGTGAAGGAATTCACCCTTACATGAAACTACATATGTACATACATATTATTCGAGATCGGTATATACCGGGTGATTAAAGATTGTGTTCGGATATTTTGACATTAAGTGATAGAGCACTTATAGTTCTCATCAAGATAAACAAAAAAGTCTTAGTAAACCTAGGTCCTAAATGCAGTGGTTTCGAAGATATAAACAATTCCAGTGTTATTAATTAATTGAAGCGTCTTGGTCTTCAAATGTCTATTTAATTGGGGAAAATACAAACAGAACATAAAAACTGAATACAAAATGCTTAAAGTAAATGCTCTACATGACCTCCCTCTATTTGAATACATGCTTGACATCTTCGTACAAAAGAATCGCTTACTCTTTTGAAGACTGCTGGAGATTGGCGAATAGTCTCACGTGCATTTTGTATTCTTTGCTGGAGATCCTTCAAGTTATTAACAGGTGCTGAATACACTAATGAATTTAAGTAACCCCATGCAAAAAAGTGTGGAGGATTTAATCAGGTGATCTAGGTGGCCAAACTATTGAACCTCCACTTCCTATCCATGTACCACAAAATTCAGTATTAAGAAAATTACAAACAATGATCGCAAAATGTGCAGGCGAACCATCATGCATGAATCATATTTGTAACCTATCCTGGAGAGGTACTTACATCCTCGAATAATATCGGCAAAGTGTTTCGCAGAAAGTCCAAATAAGTATCACCAGTTAAGCGATGAGGAAGAATTGTTGGTCCTATCAATCGGTCACCAACTATACCAAGCCAAATATTTATAGAAAACCTATACTGACTTCTTGATTGCGCAACAACGTGAGGATGCTCATCCGCCCAAACGTGATTGTTATAAAAATTCAAAATTCCGTCTTTTGTAAAGGCAGCTTCGTCAGTGAATAAAACACTAGCATGGAATATCGGATTTTGTGCAAGCTTCTGGAACATCACTTCACAAAATGCTCTTCTCGAAACGTAGTCAGGAGCGACAAGTTCTTGCACTCGTTAAACATGGTAAGGATACAATAATTGTATCAACAATTATTGTTGCTAACGTAAAATTCTCCAAACTATTAATGTTTGGCGCATAATGGCATTAATGTTTACTGCAGCAGAGATCCTTCTTACAATCGTACCTGGATTTTCTTCAACCCTTCTCAAAACATCCTCTTCTACTGCAGGAGTACTCACAGATCGAGATCGACCAGCATCGTGGTAAGTTGTCTTAAAAGAACCCACTTCCGACAAACGTTGATGCAATTTTGTAAAAAGTTTATTACTAGGTAAGTTACGGTTGGGGTAAGTTTCCGAGTGCCTCATAAGCGTTATCATTAGCAGCACCGTACATAAAGTGCATGTCTGCCAATTCTGCATTTGTGTATTCATTCATACTTACATAAATAAAAGCACCCAACTACACCAGCGAAAGTGACGTGAGATGGACAATAACTAAAGACAAAACGTGTTTAGTTTTGCATGGGTAACACGACTAAACGACTAGATATGAACTTTTATGAAAAGCAACGTAAAATCAACTATATCGCTGAAACAATTAATTTTTGAACCTAACTTTACTAATTGTAAGACTTTTTTGTTTATCTTGGTGAGAACTATTGGTGGGTAAAATATTTTAACACAATTTTTAAACACCCGGCATAAAGGTAAGATCATAAATAATAGAAACAGTTAATTACTTTCAATTGTACTAAGATCATTATTTTATTGAAATGAAATAGAAGTGATTTTTGTGTTCAAAAAATATTATTTTTAATCATTAGTTTCGATTTAAACACAGTAATTAACAAAAATTGGTTTTATTTATTATTATGTTAATATTAAAAAAATTTATAAGTACGAAAACTTTCACAAATTTCATTAAAAAATATTATTCAAAATTATATTTCAATTTGAAATTTTCCGCAATTTATGCAACCAATTACAATCATCTGTATATTTAGTTGCATAAATAAATAAAAATTAAACTGAAACTGCTGAAAATAAATTAATAATCTTAAAATTAAAACACTATTTTCAATCGAAAATAGTAGTTTGTGAATACAGAAATTTAAACAATTTTGTAACTTAATCATAAAAAGTATTTTAGTATAATTTAAATTTGCCGCCTTACGATGTTGTCACTGGTTAAAAATTATGTGCGCAGATATCTACTGCGCAGTCCAGTGGAGTGGTTAGTGTTGCTTTTTCGGTATCATTTTCGTAGATTTTTCTTAATTATTGTTATTTAGAAGCAGTTTTAGCTAAAATCGATGATTTTCTTTTAAAAATGGAATCGAAATACACCGATTTAACGAGGTTATGTCGAACTTGTAAAATGGAATCTTCCGATATGCGGCCCCTGCATACGCGAGACACTGACAATGGCACAGATAATCCTAGAGTAGATGACATGCTAATGTTACTCACAAATATAAAGGTAAATTCATGAATGAACATTTTAAAAACTATTAATTTTAAGTTTTTTATTAAATACTAGAGATTCAATAATGATAGGTTATGTAATTGTTGAAGTTTGAAGTAGGTAAATGTAGTAAAAAAAGTTTGATTTTGTACTTTTAAACTGGTTTTTATTTATTATAGACTTTAAGTGTCACTAGTTTCGCCCCTTGGCCATCTTCAGAGATTGTTTCTTAAATTAAAGCTATTTTAAGAACGTTCTTAAATTTTAACCTATAAATGTGTAACACTTCGTCCTTAATTTTATTTTACAACACTTGTGAACTTTAATTTTGTAAATTTAGTAACTAATAATCTGACTTTAAAATTTAATATGTGATCTTTTTGACAAACGAAATAGTCTCTGAAGATGGTCAAGACCCGAAACTAGTTAGACTTAAATTCTATAGAACCCAGTAATTGGATGGTTTAATTTTATTAATTTTTGAAAAAGAATGAATGGATTTGTGAGACAAGTAAAGAAATAGAAACAAGGAAAAAGTTGTAGTGATTTGTGGGCATAAACTTTGGAATGAGCAGAAGTTATTACAATAAAAAGGAAGGGAAGGACAGATTTTTGTTAACAATGAGTGATTCTAAAACTGTTAGAACGATAAGGATGGACATCAACCAGGGTATTGTTGATAAATTAAAATTAAATTAATTAAAAGAGACACTGTATAAATTGGGAATATGTAATAAAGGGAACAAACAAGAATTCAAACTAACAATAAAATTAAAATCCTATATAAACAGTTCACTTGACAAAACAGATGATGAGGTAAACTTAAATGACTTGATAGATAGTACCATAACCATAGTAAACTGTGATGTAGACAATGTAAACTGAACGAAAATTAAAAATAATAAAATGACATTCAGCTTGTTGAACTATACAGGGTGTTCCGGTGACTCGGGGGATAAAATTAACCTCATATACTAGAGCAAAAATGATGACGATTCGTGAAAAAAAATTATTATAAAAGTCTTCAAATGGCCAAGATATGGGCCATCAAAGTTCAGAAATTTTAACACATTTTTCTAAATATTTTTAATACCATTTATGCTAGAGCTGATATGAAAATATTCTTAAAATTCTCTTTACACCAAGCAGGGCTTAATTCCTTAGCCTTAAAATAAAATCCAAAAATTTTTAAGTCATTATACCTCTTGTAACATCTATCCTAGGACACTCTGTATAAAAACAGTTTTTTTGTTTTTTTTTAATTGCCATGGCCAACCTTGACTTTTTCGAAGACTTTTGTATTTTAGTGTTACCATTAAAATCGAAGCTTAATATTTTCGCATATAACACGAAAACGGTCAATGTTATCAAAATTTTCAAAGAGTGATAAAAGTTTCTAAAATAAATTTTCTATTAAAAAGTACAATAATAAATGTAGGGTTACGAGCGAACAAAAAAGTTCTGAACAAACAAATTTTAGGGACACCTGTATAGCATGATTGCCGCCGCGCCGCCCGATGAATGTCAAAATTGGTTCATTTTGCTTGACATTTGTTTACCTGTACCAAATTTCAACGCCATAAATATTGAAAATATTTAGAAAAATGTGTTAAAATTTCTGAACTTTGATGGCTCATATCTTGGCCATTTGAAGACATTTATAATAATTTTATTTCACGAATCGTCATCATTTTTGCTCTAGTATATGAGGTTAATTTTATGCCCCGAGTCACCGGAACATCCTGTATACAGAAAACTCTACATACCCGTAAACGTCTGTTTTGAACAACTTGTGCAAGTTGAAAGTATAAAACACTTATTATACAGGGTCATCCACGACGACCGTCCATTAGAACTATACAGGTTCTGGCCAAAAAAAAATTTGAAAATTCAGATTTAAGTATTATCAATTGCGTTGTATTCGACTGAAATATTTTCTGATTTCTCCGGTATAACCGGAAGTGCTGCACCTACTTTATTATTTTAAATGGAACACCTGTATGTTTTTATACAGTGTGTCCCAGGATAGATGTTACAAGAGGTATAATGACTTAAAAATTTTTGAATTTTATTTTAAGGCTAAGGAATAAAGCCCTGCTTGGTGTGAAGAGAATTTTAAGAATATTTTCATATTTTGCAAACAAAGTCGGCCTTGACAGTGAAGCGAAAACTAATTTTAGTTTAGGTGAAGTAACCTTTTTGTTCATGATACGGAAAAATTTTATTAAGAAAAGTTGTTCAAAATAAGAAATTATGGTCCTATACAAAATTTCAGAAGGATCCATCTACTTTGGTTGAACCATTACATTTTAGTTTAAATAACATAAATATTGTATAATTTTATTTTATTTATAAAAAATCGAACATCAACATAACTGTCGTTTATTCAACATAATATCCACCTTTTGTTGCACACTTTTCTATACGATGCCTAAATTCTCTAAAGCTTTTCTGAATTTCTTCGATGCGTATTTCTCCTATAGCATTTGTTATCCGTTGTTTTACTAGTTGTTTAAGGCGACCCCATAAAAAAAAATCTAATATTGTAAGGTCGGGAGACCTTGGAGGCCACGCAATTGGACCATTTCTAGATATGATCTTATTTCGAAATATTAAATTTAACCATTCAGATACGCGTGCTGTAGAATGTGCAGGGCATCCATCGTGTTGAAAATAAATGGCCTGTCTTTCTATCAGCGGCATGTCGTTTAAGTATTCTTCCCTGAAGCTTTCAAGTAGCTGTAGATAAGAATACTGATTTAACGGCCCCTCTATGAAGAAAGGTCCAATAATACCTAAACGGTATGAAATAGCGCACCACACATTCACTTTTTGGTAATACTGTCTTTTACAGTTGACGCGAAAATTTGGATTTTCCGTGGACCAGTAACGACAATTTTGAGAAGAAATAACGCCATTTGTACTAAAAGAAGTTTCGTTAAAATAAAATTCAAAATTTTTTAAGTCATTATACCTCTTGTAACATCTATCCTGGGACACACTGTATATTTGGATTAGCCTGCTTTCAAGGTTTATGAACAACTTTACTTTTTGCAATTTGATTCGGCCATTCTCGAGTTATTCGAAATTTTCTAGAAAAATCTGCTCCAGCAGACATTTGTTTAAAAAATCAGAGAACACTCGGTTTTTAGGATATCAATTTAGGATTCAGAACATGCTTAAGCAACATGATGGAGTATGTTTTGGTGCCGCGTACGGCTGCCTAGAACGTTTGAACACTTTATTATAGCACGTTAACTTGGAAGTATAACTTCATTTTTTTAAATGGCACCCCCCATATTTTATTACTTAGTCATCTTCGGAGTCTCAATTTACATCTTTTATATCCCATATGTCCTATATCTAACATTTATGGGTTGGGAGATAATTAGGGTTTTTTGAAAAATGCACACATATCGATATTTAACCTAGTGTGCCATGAATTAAGTGCATAGTGTGACCTAGTGAATAACCAAATGAAGTGGGGGTTTGAAAATTTGCAGACTTGTGATGTTTGATGCTAGCTTTTTAACTAAAATATTTTCAGGTTCCGGGTACTTGTGGTTACACCGGAAGAGGTGACAATTTTCATATTTCAAATGGAACAGCCCTGTATTTTATTACATTTTTGAAATGTTTGTTCAATTTTAGGCCACTTGTATGTTACATACACTATACATAAGTGGAGTAATTTTTGAGATTTTAATTTTTTGTAATCAAAAATGTCAACTACAATGTTAGTTGCTAATTTTTAAATCATCTACTTTGACCGCCAGAATAAAATGTTGTGGTGTTTATGTATCATCGGAGGATCAATAAGGAAAAAATAAACAGTTTGACATTTGCTAAAGCTATGGTTTATTTCTGTTGGTGTGATGACTAGGTTACTTTTTGTAGTGATCTATTTGATAATAATTTATAGAGAGTGCAACCAAATAATTGTCGTACGTGTCGGCTATTTGCGGAAAGATTTCCATGAATTTCCAACTCATCCGGTACCAACTAAGGGTATTGTACACAAGCTATTAAAAAATTGTCGGGAATTTGGAACATTTTCTCTGGAATCAAGGACATTAAAACTGGAATTTTATCGCTCTTCGTTGCGATGAAAACTTTACCTAGTCATCACACCAACAGATATAAACCATAGCTTTAGCAAATGTCAAACTGTTTATTTTATTCGTACTGATCCTCCGATAATGCATAAACACCACAACATTCCCAACACAAATTGTTTTCCGGCGCCGGCTGCTGCAAATTATTGCACTATAACATTCAATATTTTTATTTATCAAGATATAACAAATTATCTTCAAGCTATAAATAACTATTCTCACATTTAAGAAATTTCAAATTTGTTCAGAGGATAAACTCCTAAACATATACGCCTAAATTATTCATGAACGTAGAAGTGAATTTTAATTATAAAAAGGAGTTCCTCTGTGATCTGACGGTGAGCTGTTTCCTTTAATTTTCTTTTAATCGTTATATGTTTTTGCTCCTTAATTGTTTTAATCTTTAGTTAATTTGTTAAATCAATTTGATAATGTCATGGTATTTTCAGTCGTGCCTGAAGAAGGAAAGAAATTCCGAAACATATGTAGCACTGAAAAACAAATAAATTTGCTTCATCGTCAAACATGGTTTAATTATTAAATATAACATTCAAGGTTTAAAGAGTAAAAGTGTTGAACTGGACATATATTTAACACTCCAGTAGTCGCACCTCCAGTTACTACAAGAGTGCGCAAAATATATATATATTTTTCTATGATGCAAAAGTATTAACAGGTTAGTCCAGGCAGACTGTTTACGTCATCTCTTAGGCGACTTTTCAATGCATGCAAAATATATATATATTTTTTTATGATGCAAAAGTATTAACAGGTTAGTCTAGGCAGACTGTCTACGTAATATCTTAAATGACTTTTCAATGCATGCAAAATATATATACATTTTTCTATGATGCAAAAGTATTAACAGGTTAGTCCAGCCAGACTGTCTACGTCATCGCTTAGATGACATGCGACTATTGGAGTGTTAAAGGACTGGCTGACGAATCTTGAAATTGGTAATGTTAACCTAAATGGATATGTGAAAGCATCAAGCTTTTGTCGGTCTGGGCGTTTACGTGGTGGTGTTGCTATTTTATGCCCGTTCTTAGTTTCCTTCTCGCACACCTCTTTCGTTTGATACGTTAATGCTCTCAACTGAATTAGACTTTGAAGTTGCTGATATAAATTATAATGATGTTCAGATATTGTCTGTGTACCGTTCGAAGCTATCTAAAACTCTTACACAATAAATGACTATTACCACAATCACCTTATAATTGAAGTTTTATCCACACTTATGAACCATATAAAGTACCACTTTATCCACTAATGGAATAAAGTTACTTTATACCACTAGTGGAATAATGAAAAATACAATCTTAAATCAATCACATCCTATTTATTATTTATATTAATAGACATTTCATTCTTTGATTTGTCATATTTTACTTCCCTTCCATTAATAACCAGCTTGTAATTGCCATAGCTTCCAGAATGTATAGTGCCTGTCGAAGTTTTTGAAAAATCTATAGAAACAATGGACGTTTCCTCTAGTAAGGAACGACTATACTCTGTTTTTAACGTTTTTAAACCAGGAGGAGTAAACGCGAAAGTCAGATTTACACTAGGAAAAATCACCAGAAAATATCACTAGATATTTTGGCGGTAAATTTAAATTAATAATTATTATTTATTTATTTACTTATTATTGTATTTATTTTCGTTTGTTATCGCAACACTAAACATACAAATTAACATTGAAGTTATGAGTGTATTTATTTCAAAATATAATAAAGAAGGGTTTAAGAACACAAAATTTACAATAATGACACGAAACTGTCGAATTATCAATAACCTAACCTTCAAATTCAAAATTGAAAATTGCCTGTATGTGAACCTTCCTCGCATTCAACCAATCACGTGCAAGGTCAATCTGGTGACAAATTTAAAATACTCCTCCTGGTTTAAAAACAGAGTATAGTACCAGTAGAACCTTGGATTTTTCTTGCGATATCAAGCTTATTACATATAGAATCCTCGATATAAATTTCTGCTATGCCAGAGCTCCTCCACCCACCATGTCGTTTAATTATTGTAAGGTCGGCACCTTTATTGGCCAGTAAAGTTGAAGTGCGCCTCATACAATGGCCGCTATAAGCTTTTGCATTTGCCAGATTCAAAAACGAAGCAACTGTTGAAGGAACTTTCGACAAAGTGTCAACAGGTTGTGAAGTACATTTTTGATTAGCGTATTTTAAAAAGAATCTCTCATTGGATAACTTCTTCGGACGTAAAGACATGTATTTTCTACACGTCTCCACAGTATTGATAGAGAATCCTTCTTCTATAATTGTAAATTTTCGTGAAATACCTATCTTGGTATATGGTATCGAAACAATCAAATATCCCCTATCTTCTACATCAGTAATCTTCAAATTAGTCAGTTCACAGCATCGACAAGCACCAGACACCCCCATTATTAGTGCAACCTAATATATTTCAAAATTTATTATACAGTGATATTCCCCTAACTCGAATCACTAAGAGAGTGGAAGAAAACTTCGAGTTATGGAAAATTCGAGTTAGAAAAACACATTTAAACATATTTGAAGCCTAGTCAAACGCTTGAGCTTACGAAAATTATTCGACTTAGAGGATAATTCAAGATATAGAAGTTCGAGTTAGGGGAATTTCACTGTATATAATATCCAAAAGGTTAAGAGAGATTACCTTGATCGTCAAATATTCTTTATTGCAAGCCCTTGTCAAAAACTCTTCGACATGTGTTCTTTCCCATACTGCAGATTTCTTCGCCTTGTATCCTCTTGACTGATTCTTCAAATAGGCCATGAGCTTACTATATTTTCATATATCTATGTTTTTATAAACCTTTATAGCGGCTTTCAGCATCGAATACTTCGACCACATGGATGAAATTGCATACCTCTTCTTCAAATTTAAGAAATACGATAGCAAGACTTCCTCATTTATTGTTATTACCCACCGTTTTTCTTTCCATTCATTAAACTCGGAAAATACTTTTTCGTAATGTTCCCTGGACTGTGCAGGCAATAATTGGACAGTTGCTTCTTTAGCTTCCTCAAGAATTATCATATCACTTTCTTCCATTTTTCTCCAACTTTACATTTACACCCTTTACAACTTTTACAAATATGTTACAACATGTTACAAATGGAATCGATAAACAATCGAAAATAAATAGCAACAATTCAACACCTCCCAATATTTTTTTAGTTAATTGCAATAATTTTTGAGGTGACAGCCGCTGTCAGAGTGAAATGTCAAATCATTTTTTGATAACATCAGATGAAATTTTGGCGATTCTGATTCTAAATGAGTGTGATTGTGGATAAAATATTCTTGCGTGAATAAAATACTGTCTAAAACACTTACACAATAAATAACTATTAACACATAGATAAATACATCAATAATGATTTTGGGGATCTTGTATAATTTTGTTGCTTTTGTAAGCCGTTGCCTGTACCCCTCAGGTCGATTGATGTTGTGTTTTTGCTTTTCTTTTCGCGTTTTAGTGGTCTTGTGTTCTCTATCTATATAAATAAATAATCGTTTATTGTGCAAAGCTACAAACAAGCAAAAAAAATCCAGAACAATATACAGGATGATTCAAAAAGCCGCTGACAGACTTTTAGGGTAGATAATACATGAAAAATTAAGATAAATAGTCTTAATATACCTTAATAATAGTCTTAATGTAAAAAGTCCTTTTTTAAAAATATTGTTTATGCCATTGAGCAACAGTTTTTGATTGGATTAACAAATTTTCTACAAACGTGTTTTTCTTAAAAACTATTGCTTTGATCAAAATTTTGTAAGAGACCAACTGATAGATAATTGATCACTATACAAAATTTGCAGTGACGTTGAAAATATTTTTAAAAAAGGGTTTATTATTGCAGATAATGTGTAATTTTAAAGAAACTTTGACACCCTTATATCTCGTTAAGGTGGCATTTGCAAGCCCATGTATATTGTGTATTACCTGCCCTAGGAGTCTGTCAGCGGTTTTTTGAATCAATCTATATAAGTAGTTTATTTATGACGTGTATGTGTATTACTATACAGCATTTTGTATCATGTACTACTGACTTGTGATAATACTTAATAGCATATTTTCATTAATAAAGATTATTATTATTATAATAAATAAAAACCAGTTTAAAAGTACAAAATCAAACATTAAATTGTTTACCTTCTTCAAAATTGACAACTGGTAGAGTGGATTTTAATTATAATTCTTTATGTAATTGTTGTTAAAAGTGGATTTCAATAAAATAATAAAAATTGTTTTATTTTTTCTTACAAATTTAGGTTGAAGAATCGGATAAACTCCCACATTTAATATGCAATTATTGCGTGACACAACTAAAAGCGGCCGTTAATTTTAAACAACTTTGCGAAGCCACAGATTTATTTTATAAAGATTTATTAAATCTCAATATTGAGCATAAAATCGAAATATACGAAGATATGATACTTTCAGAGGATACATCAATAAAACAGGGAGGAGATAACGATAATTTAAATAATCGCGACTACATCCAAGTTCTTGATGATGAGAACATATTAATTTTAACCTGTGGGGAATGTTTAAAAGTTTTCACAACAATCGAGGGTTTAAAATGCCATAAACGTATACATTCTAAAGATCCATTTAAATGTAAATATTGTGGCAGGGAATATTTAAGCTTAAAAAGTTTAAATCGCCACGAATTGATGCACACAAAACGAAAATTACATGTTTGTAAAATATGTAATATAACTATATCACGAGATACTAATTTAAAGAAACATTTAATGGTTCATTTGAAAGATAGGCCATATCAATGTGAGGGCTGTACTAAAGGTTTTAATCGTTCTGAAGATTTAGATATTCATAAAAATAAATGTAAAGGGCAAAAAATTTACACTTGTAATATATGTGCGAAAGGTTTTAATCGAGAAGATAGTTGTATGGTGCATGAAAAAATGCATGAAGATCAACAATACGTTCTTCCAACATTAGAAAGTTTAGATAATATCCAAGAATTCTATTATGAAGTTGATCTAAACGACGAAAATATTAATTTAATTAATTCAGAGATTTCTGATGTTGATGTTGAAGAAGAATTCCAACCAGATATCGCTTGCGAAGTTTTATTTACCCCAACAGTTGATAAAAATCCTATCATAGATATTAAATCAGAAATTTATGCCGAAGAAGATCCCCTGGAAATCATGGAAGAAAAAGCTAGGATTGAAGAAGAAATGTATAATGGAAATAGTGATAGCGCTGAATCTGAATACTTTCCTTTACGTATAAAAAAGAAAAAAGGAAGGCCAAGAAAAAAACCGTTAAAAAGATTAAGAGGTAGACCAAAAAAATTAAAATCAAACGAAAATAATGAACACACTTGCCCAGATTGTAAACAAGTTTTCCCAGAATTATCACTTTTAGAGGATCACATGATTAAACACGAATGCACTTATTGCAAAAAACGATTCGCGAGATTTACTCACTTAAGGAGACACATTTTAACACATTCAGAAAGTAAACCATACCCTTGTGCACAATGTGAAAAATCATTCACAAGATTAGATCATCTTCAACAACACATTAAAGTTCATGACCCCGAATATAGGCATTCCTGTGAAAGTTGTGGTTTAACATTTTCAAGGCAAAGTCAACTTTCCAGGCATATGGTCACTCAACACAACGCTGAGCCTTCAATGCAAGACGTGGAAAAAAAATTTTATTGCAATATTTGTTTGAAAGGATTCACAACTGAAAAATATCGAAACGTTCATGTGAAAAATCACGAAGCTGGGAGGCCGTTTCAGTGTAATATTTGCAAGAAAACTTTTACTTTAAAATCGCATCTTAATGAACATATAAAATTTCATAGTGAGAGTTCGAAAAAGTTTTTATGCTCGGAATGTGGGCAGAGATTCATTCGAAACGATTATTTAATTATTCATATGAGGAGGCATCGTGGTGAGAAACCTTTTAAATGTAAATTTTGTGGAAAGGGATTTCCTCGGACTACAGATCTCCATGTACATGAAAGATATCATACTGGCGAAAAAACTCATTTGTGTGGTGTATGTGGACGCGGTTTCGGAAGGTAATTAATAAACCTTTATTAACTATTATAATAATAATAATTTATTGTCTCCCAATATTGTTACAAAAAAGAACAACATTATCCATAACTAATCAAAATCCTACCCCTTTCCCCAGATTCTCCCTGTCTCGACGTCTCCTTGCTGTAGGGTTGCCAGCTCTATTTTTTGCTTTACGAGGGTTATCTGGAGAAAATACGGGATTTAGGATTAAAATACGGGACATGCATTTTACATAATAAAACTCCACTTATTTCTGTTTTGGTACTAAATGTATTACAAAATATGTAGTATATTATTATACGAGCATATAATGAGGGCTATTATTCACTAAGGTTAAGTTTATGTCACGAACGTAGCGAGTGGCATAATTAACCTGAGTGAATAATAGCTCATTATACAGGATGTCTCCGCGAGACCGGTCATTAGACGTTTCTGGAGTTATTTTATCTACGACTGCCGACTTTATCAAAATTTTTGAGGAATTGATAAAGAAGTTTAAAAAATTAAATTTTGATTTTTTTTTGAATTTGCCTCTATGAAACTAATTTCCATCACATTTTAATAATTTAATTTTATAATGTGTAATTAATGATTGTAGTTGTCGTCCCGTTTTTGGTACAAAATACATAATTTACTTACAAGGGAAGTATCAGAACTGTCCCTCACCGATTTTTTTGAAATTTGGTACAGCGATAGTATGGCCAAAAATAAGGTTTACGTATTTTTTTATACGTTCTAATAAAGCCCCTGGGGCGAGTTATAAGGGTTGGAAATCGGGGCAAAATATATATATTCGCTTATAGGCTGAAAACGAAAATAGCTATCGAAATGCGGTAAATGTAAACTGGTATTCATTTTTAAAGAACTTTCCATTGATATATCACATATACAGGTGTCTCAGCGAGACCGGTCATTAGACGTTTCTGGGGTTCTGGCGAAAATAAAAATTTGAGAATTCAGACTTAAGTATTATCAATTACGATCTCTTCGTCTAAAATATTTTCAGATTNCCAACAAGGCCCAATGATGATAAAAACGACTGTTATAATACAAATACTTTATTTTCATACCATTATCTAAATATTTACATTACTAAAGAAATGATAGTTTATTATTCATAATCCATGTCTTAATAATTAAGACTAATTAATAATAATAAATAATAATTTAAGAACTGTTTACAATAAGTTCGTTGTAAAACTATATGCAATCTTGGGGAACATATTTATTCGCTAACGTCTTCACATCTTCGAATTTACTTTTACTTTTCCCTGGAAGGGAGAAAACGGTACTTGGTTTTTCTAGCTGGAATGTATCTCTGCGTAGTGCGGAAGAGTCATATAACAGTTCATCTTGATTGTATTCTCCATACTTGTACTTTGATATGGTAAACTTTACTTTATGATTACATTTGCGTTCAGATATATTACTCTGAGATTTAGCATATAGAGGTTGCTGAAACATACTTTGTTTGGCTTCTATAACTACAAACTTCTTTCATGACTTTCGGACCATGTCTTCGTAGTCTTTAGGAACAAACACCCTTTCTCTTTCTCGTCTTTCTTTTTCAATAACACCAAAAGTGCGGTCACAAGGTAAAAAACTGTGTCCTGGCTCTGGATATCTGTGTATAATTTTATCAAACGTTTTATACCCCTTAACAAGAGTGTACAAGTGTGCATCAGTACCACGTTCTTGTTGTGAGCTGAGCAGTTGTCAGAAAAAAGGTACAGGTTCTTTTACACTGGAACTGATTTCATTTTTTATGAAATGATCGATCATGCTTATTACTTAATTCTGACCTTTCCACCCAGTACCTTCGTTCTACATGTAGCAGTGTGAGTTTCCTTTGCTTGCACAGTATATAGTGAAGTTATAAACCCACAGTAGTCTCTTGTAAAACACATCTCCAGTTGGTACTGCTGGCAAAGGTAAATTCTGTTGAAAGTCTAATGTCAAGACTTCAATCTTATCATTAGTTTTGGATTCTTTAATTTTTAAACTAATTTCTTTATAAAATTCCTCACTCTTTCTTAAATGAAATTCTTTTTTCCTTTTTAATGTCTCTAAATTTTCTTTGTTGTTTTCACATTTAATTTTGTTCTCTAGTGTATCACATTTTTGGCATATATCAGAGATTTTGGTATTCCAAATGAAAGCTTATAGTTTTCATTAAAGTGACGATTATAGTAATTGTATGTAACTGTTTGTTTGCATTTTTCACCTTTTTCCAATCTCGCAAATACCGCTGCTTCATGTTTATCTAAATAAAGTCTCTGCTTTCTTCGAATACTCAAATCTGGAGAAAAGTACCGTACATTCGCATTTTTCGTCCTACTGTAGTGAGATATTTGAGCAGGAAAGTTTTGTATCTGCTCATCAACTTGATTTATAATATGATCTGGTATTTAGTTTGGTCTACTACCATGTTTTCCACAATTATCCTTCAATACATAGGTATTCCTTTTTGTAGATATCCTAGTAACTTTTCAACTCTACGTTTTCCTACTCCATAAAGAGAATAAAAAGCTTTCTTACAAACCTTTTTTTTCAAAAGTACCCTGTTTTATTTTATAGTGTGCTGCGTAGACTCGAGTTTGTACTGCCCCTGTTTTCGGTCTACGCCTCTGAATAGTGGATAAACTAATTTGGCCACTAAGATGAATGTCCTGCTTCTCCTTATTTGCCATTGCATTGAAACTACTGAGCATAGTAGCCTTAATAACGTCGGTGATAACAGAAAAGCATTTGCACTTGCAGTTGCAATCCGGACCTCAGTTGCGTGCTGTGACCACATTACCTGAAGAATTCATATGTTCATCTTTAATCGTCCCTTTTCCGCTTTCGTCCCGTTCCCTTACGTATGGTCGCATTTTCATTATCATCACAAACTATGTTTGTATCGGAGCACTCGGCATCACAAGAAGCTAATAACAATATATTTACATTGTATCTAGGCTTATGCTTCTCTACGTTGTTTTCCGGGATATAATCTGGATCACTATCCGTATTATCCAAATCGGTTTCAACAATAAATAGGTTGGTTATGCTCATAACTGAAGCAAATTCCGTCAAACACATAATATGACCTTACAAAACTAACAACAGCGCTGTATTGGCCATAGACAACTATGATAATAAACAAAATAGTAGAAGCAGTTGTTTAGAACAAAAATTATCAGGATGGGGCATTACTACTTCAAAAGTGTAACGGAAATTTTTTAATCAATTGTCAACAATCATTTCAAAATATTTTTATAAATGTCAAAATAGACCTTTTTAAAGAAATTGATTTTTAAGTAATTTTTAGTAGTCGTAGATAAAATGTTGTGTATCACAGGTGGGCTAGAGCATAATTGGACTGCGTATACATCACTTGACTAAGCGACAAATGATCGATGTTGAGAAAAACGGGACTTTCGTTTTCATCTCTCTAAAAATATGACTTCTCAGATTTATTTATTTTTATCACAGAACACTGATGATAGCCATCACAAGCACAGAATCCGCTTGGTCAGTCGTTTTATGATTATACAGAGTGTTTCTGTAAGTCGTGGCATAAATTTAATCACAAATACTAGAGTCAAAATGATGATTCGTGTAAAAATTTTTTAAGAAAATTGTCTCGATTTTGATTTTGTACTTTTCAACTGGTTTCTATTTTATACAGAATTATTAGTTACTAATTTACAAAATTAAAGTTCAAAAGTTGTAAAATGAAATTAAGGACGAAGTGTTACAAGTTTACAGTTTAAAATTGAACGCTTTTTTTTAACAAAAGAAATATTAAGAAACTTGGGAAAAATTCAAGAATCATCATGTGGCTTAAAAATCACCGTTTTTTTTAATCAATGTGAAATGACCCAAAAAACACGTTATAAATAAAAAGAATGTGCGGAAATGTGACTAACACTAGATTAACTTCAGTTATAAAACTTCTATTATATGATAACTAACTTCAGGTTTAAAATGTCAACCTCAATTTTGACATATTTGCAATCTTCATTAAAAATCCTTTAAAATGAATACAAACACGACATATTTATCTTCAATATTAATGAAGTTATGGTCAACTTCCGGTTAAGAATGTCAACGTTAATTTTGACATATTTGTAATCGTCGTGAAAAATCCTTTAAAATGTGTCCAAGCATGATACGCTTAATTCCTATATTACTCGAGATATAAACAACTTCCGGTTTGAAATGTCGTCATTTTGATATATTCTTAGTTTTTATAAATTGTATTTGTCACAAAAATAAAAATGTAATAAAAAAAATTAAAAATTAAGGTTGGTATTAATATTAAATTGCTATCTTCATTGTTGTTAACTTCGGGTTTAATGTTTTTTATTCTAACTTTTATGTTTTTTGCGATAAGTGCTATCTTTGGACTCATTTTAAAGGTTTTTTAATGAAGATGATAAATATGTCAAAATTGACGTTGACGTTTCAAACCAGAAGTGATTGTATCTCCATTAATGTCAAAGTTAAGCATATCGGGTTTGGACTCATTTTAAATGATTTTTTATGAAGTTAACAAATATGTCGAAATTAATAGTTGAAAGTTCGAATTTTGGTTTTTTGAAAGAAATGCGTCATGTTTGGACTCACTTTAAAGGTTAGTTTATGAAGATTACGAATACAATAATAAAATTAAAGTTGACATTGATAACTGCAAGTTTTTTTCACGACTAAACCCGAATGTTTCTAGTTTTCGTTCTACCACTGCCACTAGAACTAACACTAGACCGAGAACTAGAAACATTCGGATTTAGCCGCACGTCTCTCAAGACGGCTAAACCCGAATGATGATTCTAGTTCTAGGTCTTGTGTTAGTTCTAGTGATAGTGCTAGTGTAAAACTAGAACTAAAACTAAACCTAGAACTAGAAAGTATCTAGTTCTAGGTCTAGTGTTAGTGCTAGTTTTAGTGCAATAAAAATATGCAACTTAATGATATCTTATGCTAACTAGCGCTACCTACCGCTGTCGTTTGTAAT